GGGGTGGATAGATGGGTAAATGGATGAATGAATGGAGGGGAAGATGGACAGATGGTTGGAAACAGGCAGTCACAGGGTGTAAAGGCCATAACTGCCTGATGGCTAGGTGATGTTTTAGCAGGAGGGTTGATAAAGGGAAGCGTGTCAGAGCTGCAGGACAGTGAGTGATCGACATGCAAGCTGACTGTGAAACAAAACAATCTCTCATTACAAAATCTGCAGGGAAAATAACATTTGCGAAATGAAATCATCAGTGATAAAGTGAGACTGACATGGAAACACATGGCTGCCCCCAACCCGCTTACCTCTGTTTGGCTGATGTCCTTCGACACGCGAGGCAGAGGGGGAGGGAATCACTCTGCTGCCCCAGCGTTTCACATGCAGGAGAAGCTGCCTGTTTTTGTAACACCCACGTGAAATCCCAGCAGCAGTGAGAGCCACCTGGGACTCCGGAAACATTGCTTTGGTTTGTCGCTGAATGTGGGGTACAATGTAGTGCATCTGTAGGTTTTTGTGTCCCTGGAAAAACATACACATCCCTGCCTACAAGGACAGGAGCGGTGTCTCATTCTTCTCTCTCCCTATGTTTGAGAAGGTTTAAACTCTTTAGTGGCTGAGCCTACATTTTGGCTGTGCGAAAGCCCTTCCACGTGGTGACATAAGCATCGTTTTTTGAACACCAGCAGGGGAATCCCAGCGCATCCTTTTAAAGGTGCATACATTTTATTTTCTCCATGTTATGGAACAGGGTAACCAAAGCAAAGAGGCAAAGCAGAAAAAGTGAAGGTCAGGACTAGTATTTATGGAGTACTTTGCAGGAATATTGTCCTAAGATGCCAATGGAAAACGATCCAGCAGTGCAGTCCAGAGCACGTCTGGCAACGCTTGTGTTTCACATTCATGCATTTCAACTAAGTTAATCACCCAGGACACAGGCTGAAAAATGAAGAAAGAGCCAGGACCAGCAATTTTGCTCTTCTTTCTCACTGGAAGGGTTTTTTTTCTCTCTAATGTTGCCGAACACTGGAAACTTTGTATGTGTAAAATAAAGGATGTTAATAAAATAAACATCCCAAAACGGAAACAATTCCGTAATGAATTTCTCCCCTCCGTGACTGGGAATTCTTCCCTGCAGGCAGAGGTGGGGTGAAGCAGAAGCTCTGTGGACGGCTGTGCCTGGAGGAAGTGGTACCAGAGCCTGTGGGTCAGGGTGAGCACATCCTCCACCCAGCAGGTGCTGCACAGCCCTGCAGTGAAGCCCGTAGTGAAGCTGGGCAGCACCCAGGAGATTCTTGTCCTGTTTGCCTTCTCTCAAATATCAGGAGGAATGCATGGCATGGTGAGATGCCCCATCCATCCCTGGAGGTGTCCAAGGCCAGGTTGGATGGGGCCCTGGGCAGCCTGGGCTGCTGTGAGATGGGGAGGTTGGTGGCCCTGCATTGGTGGGGGGTTGGAGCTTCGTGATCCTTGAGCTCCCTTCCAACCCAAACCATGCTGTGATGCTGTGATTTTGATTCTGTGATGGTGCCACAGTTTCTGTATGGACAAAGGTGAGGCTGGTTCAGACCACTCCAGTTTGATGGTGTGGATACATCTAAATCACATTAATGCCCTCAGCTGTTGTTTTCCACGTAGTGAATAAGTGGGTCCCTATTCAGGAGTTGCTCATTTCAGTGTGTGTCTGCACAGCAGCCATGATGTGCACAGGACAAAGAAAGATGGAGATGTGATAACAGATCAACAAAATGAAAGGAAAATAATTTGGTCTTTGAGTTTGCTTCATGTCCTTCTGTCCAAAGGAGTCCTTGGGATATGGGAAAGGAACTCCTGCCTCACCGTCTCAGTTCTGATATCCTTCCACTTTTGCCCTGGGATGGAAAATAAGCACATCTCTGGTGTTCCTGCTAAAGCAAATCTGGGATACAAAGGCACCAAACAGGGGTGGGAGAAGCAGAAGGGGTGAAAAAAAAAAAGGGAAAATGAGGCAGAACCACCATGAGGATTCCCGGTGGGGTTTCAGACCATCATTCCTCCAAAGTTACTGAAAGGGAATGGATCAAAAATCCCTTCATATGCAAATCACGTTTCTCCAGCTCTTTGCAGCAGTGCTGCTGTTGCAGTGACATCAGATCTTGATAGCAATGTGGAAAAGAAGCGGAGGTGCTGCTCCCAGGCAGTCCTGAAGGAATATTTTTGGCTCGTGCCAAAAGAGGATTGAGCTGCTTTATTCTGCTGCTCTTGCAGCAGCAAGCGTGGGGATCTGAGCAGATCTGTCAGTCTATCAGCACTCGACGCCACCGCCTCCTGCATCAAGCTTTCCATCAGGATTTCTTAAAGTGCTCTGGGGTTTGGTGGATTCAGCGGGTCTTTAAGCACAAATTGTGAGCTGTTTATTTCCAAACAAGAGGTTCCCTGTGGAGCAAACACAGCAGTTTCTCCCACAAGCACCAAAATACCACAGCAGCATTTTTCATGGCACCAACTCCATCAGCTATCCTAGCACTGGCTGACTGCTTCTTTTCCTTAACACCCACTAAAGCTGTGCATGCTATCCGTTGTAAACTGAGACAGGGGAGGTTTGGGTTGGATGTGAGGAGGAAGTTTTTGAGCCAGAGGGTGGTGAGGCACTGGCACAGGTTGCCCAAGGAGGCTGTGGATGCCCCATCCCTGCAGGCATTCAAGGCCAGGCTGGATGTGGCTCTGGGCAGCCTGGGCTGCTGGTTGGCGACCTGCACACAGCAGGGCTTGGAGCTGGATGAGCGCTGTGCTCCTTTGCAGCCCAGGACATTCAATTGTTCTGTGAAGCAGGAATCTTCACCTTGCACCCAGTGTTTGCACAGCTGTGCACGGTGTTCCTGCAGAGGGCAGCTCCCAGAAGTGGATGTCACCCAAAGAGGGAGGTTGCATCCACAGCTCAGCTCTGTTTGCTGATTTCTATTACAACCCAATGTCTCTTCCAACTAATTTTAGCAGTCCTCTCACACAGCCCATTCAGTTGTTTCTCTGCTGTCACTGTGGAAATTCTCTTATTGCTCTCTGAGGCAGCGCAGTGTGCTCATTCATCAGAGGTTGGCAGCTCTGCCTCAGCTCTGAGAGGAGCTGCTGTGAGTGAGGAGAGCAATCCATCAACCTGCCAAAGAAGATGAGAAGAGCTTCCCATCCATTCAGTGCAGCAGTTCATAGAGGTTTAGGGTTTTCCCATCACTGTAAAGCAAAACCTGAACGAAGTCTGGGCTGCAGTTCCTCAGAAGGGAAGGAAGACCAAAGTGCTTCTTGGATTGCGTGCACAGCCAACCCCATGGTCACAGCCTTCCTGATGGAAGGCACAGAGCATGTCAGCTCACTCTGCAACACCCCCATCCCACCCTTGTGTCTCCACCCCCCCCAACCTCACTGCCCTCCAAAGGCACAGCCTTCAGCAGCATCTATGTCCTGAAACACATTTTCCATGTTCTGAGCTACTGTCACTTTGCTGTCACCATCCTCCATCGAGGTCCTAAGGACACTTCTCAGCAGTGCCCCCAAGAATGAGGAGGGTCCAACGTCCTGTGAGGCACTGAACAGGCTGCCCAGAGATGTGATGGATGCTTGATGATGATGGATGATGGATGATTCCTGGAGACTTTCCAGGTGAGGCTGGATGGGGCCCTGCACAACCTGATCTACCTGTAGTGTCCCTGTAAAATGCAGAGGAGTTGGAACCAAATGACCTTCAGAGGTCCCTTCCAACTCTAAGGATTCTATGATTCTGTGATTCTGAGGTGTAGGAGGGAGATAAAGAGCCCTGGATGCTCTTATACTTTTCCTTTTTGGGGGTAATAAAATAGGAGACAAAAGCCATCCTTGTAACCCTCATCCCAACGAACAAACAACTGAGCCTGATGTGTAGCCCAGCTCCAAGCACCATGGAGACCATTGGGTGGGGGATGGAGCAGCAGGCAGGGAGCTGTGTGCCCCACTGCTGGCTTCACAGAATCATGGAGTCATAGAAGGATTGAATGGCCTGGGCTGCAAAGGAGCACAGCGCTCATCCAGCTCCAAGCCCTGCTGTGTGCAGGTCGCCAACCAGCAGCCCAGGCTGCCCAGAGCCACATCCAGCCTGGAATTGGATGCCTGCAGGGATGGGGCATCCACAGCTTCCTTGGGCAAATCACACAGAATCATTTCATTTCTGATTAATTTAGAATCAGGAGAACAGGCTTGCATTCTTCCCAGTCCCCAGTTTCTCCTGCAGCCCTCTCTGATGCCCTCCCAGTGCCAGACCCCTTGCAAGTGTGTTCCAGCATTTGCTGTGTGTTTCTCCCCCCAGCCCCATGTGCATGTCAAGGCAGAGCACACGCATGGCTGCACCCCAGAGTGATGAGAACCCTGCCTCAGCAGCCCCATGACTCTCCCCATACCCCCCAACACAGACAGGCAGACCACATGCATTCCAGGTGTTTATTGGGCCATGCTGTGATGCAGCTCAGTGATACTTGCGGGCCAGAGCATGAGCCACAACGTTGACCAGCTTCTGCCAGGCAAATTGGCAGGCAGGAGTGAAATCCCTGGCAAAGTGGGAAGCCAGAACGATGATCAGGATGTCCCCAAGGAGCTGCGGGAGAAAGTGGAGAGCAGGAAAGATTAGTGCTGCTTGGACGGCCAGGGAGCATCTCCTCTTCCTACTCAGCACAGCCTCAGCGCTTGCTGCTGGGGCTGCTGGGCCCAAGTGCTCACTCTTTGCTTATAAAGCTCCGAGTCTGGGGGGAAAAAAAGTGGTCTGCTCCATCCTTGCGAAAAGAAAGGGAGAGCGGGTGGAGAAAAAGCCTTGAGACCGTTTTCCTCCATTCTTGGGATGCTGGTTTGGCCTAATATCCACCTTGAAAAACGCCGCTTGTAATTTATTTGTTTGTTTGTTTGTTTGTTGTAAATGAGGAAATCTACACATTTTTATTTGCAGAAGTTACAGGAAGAAAGACTGCCCATTCTAACCCAGGTTGCCCAGAGAATCTGTAGGAGCCCCATCCCTGGAGGTGCCCAAGGCCAGGCTGGATGGGGACCTGGGCAGCCTGAGGCAGAGGACACCCAGCCCACGGCAGGGGGTGAGACTGGGGGGCTTAAAAGTCCCTTCCAACCTGAGCCATTCTGTGGTTCTATGGTTCTATGGTTCTATGGTTCTATGATTCTATGATCCAGATAGGCAGCCCATTCTGGATAAGCCATAAACCTGCTCTGTCATTTCAGAGCTGCTGTTTTTCCCATAGAATCACAGAATTCTATAGGATGTATGACTTCCTTCAGTGCTCTGCTGAACATCCCTCCACCTCTGCTTCCTCCAGTCCAGCCTGCGCCTTCCTCTGGTTTGCTTTCATTTGTTCTCAACCCAAATGCCTCCTTTAGCTTACAGTCTCACAGTACTTTCTCCTTCCCATTGCTGCACTGACACAAAAAAATGGAACTTTTCAGCCTGAAAGCCACCTGCCCTCCTGCAAAGACTTCTGCACTCACTGGGTCTATGCAGGGATGCTGACTCCACCAGATAGAAAGTGCTCAGCCAGCGTGGCTGGGGCAGCCCCCGTGTTTCAAAGCAAGGCATTGCACAGGGAACGGGCTCAGGCTGCCAACATCTCCTCGTGCCAACAGCTCACCCTGAAGTTCTCGGGGTCCACGTGCAACTTGTCGCAGTGCAGCTCCGACAGCTTGGCGTAGGTGTTCTTGATGTTGTCCAGGTTCCTCACGGCTTCCCCAAAGGAGCTCAGCACTTTCTTACCGTGAGCACGGACCCTGGGGTTGCCCATGATGGCCGTGGGGCTGGAGAGGTTCCCAAAGGACGCAAAGAACCTCTGGGTCCAGGGGTAGAC